TGTTTTTTAAGGGGTTTTGACAATTGCATTTCAATATCAATGGTTTCCTTGTGTGGCATTCTGTGGAATTAAGTGTCTGCTCAGTGTGGTACTGGTTTATCTGGCAGAGGGAGACATGCCTTAGGAAAACACAAACCCATCTTTTGAATAATGACTGACACAAAATTAATAAGATTTTTAAAATCACAGAGAAATGCTGCCACCCAAAGCAACATGGTGCTCTGTTCTTATAAACCACTGCATAAACTCTTTTCAGAGGAAGACCTCAAAGTTATCCATCTCATCCTACTGCAATGTAATTCCCATGTCCTTGATTTGTGTACATTTGGAGATGCTGGTAATGGATTCTGCTTTATTTATTGCTTTTCCAGATGAATGCTGGCCCTTGATCCATTTCCAGTACCTTGGTGCTTGGATCTATTATCTGCATCAGGCTATTGCATTGGTTTAGAACACTCAAGTATCTATCTGTCATCCAGGTTGGGTTGTTTTCCCAATGATTCCCCTTGTTGCCTCAATTACAGCATCTATGCCTATCAGCTGAGCATCACTCAGGTCAACCATTTAGTGCACAGGAGAAATAGCAAATGATTTCCCTGTTTCTACTCAGCTTTAATGAGCTAAAATTAAATTGAGTTGCATTCTCAACCGCATTTTAATCTCCTGAAAGGTCTCCCTGTGCAGATGAGCTCATGACCATAGAGTCAGTGTTTGGGCTGCTTTTACTTCCCTTTTGGTTTTCAGCCAGGCTTCCTAGGAGACGCCAGAAAATTGATTTTCTTTCTGTCCCCTGAAATAGCAATGGAAACCAGTGGGAAGAGCACTGAACCCTGTAATAAAAGGGAATAACTTGTTAAAAGGCTATCTGGTCTTTCTAAGTGAAGGAGAGCTCCCTGAATAAGTGAACAAGTCAGTTAAACAAGCAATTATTCAGTTTAGCAAACATTTACTAAATATCAGCTATGTGCAAGGAACTATGCTAGTCACTGGGAAAATAAAGGAAAACCAAAATAGTTCCTGCCCTCAAGGAGCTTACATTTCACTAGGGTGTACATGCTGTATCTAAAGCAAGTAAATACAAAATATCTGAAAAACAATACAGAGTAATATTGAGACAGGGAGAGATAATAATAGGCTGAGGGGGGAGAAGGTTAGAAACTGGGATAGACCTGTAGTAGTTGGCACCAGAGCTGAGTTTTGAAGACAGCTAAGGATTGTATGAGGCAAGGGAAAAGAGGGAAAGCAGAAAGGAAAGAATGTATTTGCAAAGGTGGAGAGAAGGGAACAGCTTGATTAGAAGAGAATCGTATGAAATAAAATTAGAAAGGTAAGTGGGTCCCAAACTTTGGAGAATTTTAAATACCAAGTGGAGGATTCAGCATGTGATGTGAGGGATTAGAGGGAATTATTGAGAATTTTTCCTTCATGGAATCACATGACTAAGCAATGAATCAATCAGTTAGTATTTACTAAGCACACACAATGGGACAGGCACAATGTTGGGCATTTGTGGTTCAAACAGAAAGAAAGAAATTATCCTTACATTATAAAAGGAGAGACAACAAGTTCATATAAAAACACATACGGTACAATATGAAATGAATAAATGTAAACATATGCAAAGTAGTTGTATACAAACAGAGATGTGTTAGGAAACGCTAAACAACTAGCTCTTTCTCCCCCCTCTCAAATGGATGTACAATACACTTTTAGTTTAATCTGCACAATTAACATTTTCTCCATCACTTTTTAAAGTCTAGATAATTAAAAAATACAATGAATCAACCAATGCTTTGTAAATATTATGTCAATTTCCAAGGCATAAATGCTCTTACTGAAAATTTAACAAGTAAATTCTGAAAGGCAGTATGAGCTGACTCCAGCACCTTCCTGAATATGAGGACTATCACTTTAATATCTGTGCAAAGAGGGATCAGAAAGGGGAGAGACTGGAGGCAAGGAGGACTGATGAGGATGTTCTAGTGCTATAGACAGGAGATGAGAAAGGCCTGAACTAGGGTAGAAGCTGTGTGAAGGAAGAGCAACAAACTCATACATGATATTTTGTGGAGGTAGAATTAACCAGACTTGGACTGTTTGGCTACTAGGGTTGACACAAAGGGAAGAATTAAAGTCACAGACCTAGGTTTAGAAAGTATAGTAATATTACAATACACTTATCATAGTGCCTGGGAAATTTGTTGTTCCATCATTTCAGTCTTGTCTGACTTTTCATGACCCCATTTGGTATTTTCTTGGCAAAGGCACTAGAGTGGTTTTCCATTTCCTTCCCTGTCTCATTTTACAGGTGAGGAAACTGAGGCAAACAAGGGTAAGTGATTTGCCCAGGATCACACAGTTAGTAAGTGTCTCTGAGATCAGATTTGAACTCAGGAAGATGGGTCTTTCTTACTCTAGACCTGACACTCTATCCATTGTGCCACCTAACTGCTCTTATGGAACATAGTAGGCACTTAAAATGTTGATTGATAATCCCATTGAACAAAATAGAGAAGTACGGAAAAGAGAGGGACTAAGGTATTACGACTAGTTAGTGTAATGATTTCTGTTTGGAACAAGTCAGGTTTGAGATACCTATGGAGCATCAAAAAAGATGTTTGTCAGGAATTTGGCAGTATTATACTAGAATTCAGGAGAGGGCTTAGGAATGGATATATAGATTCAAGATTCAGAGGTATATAGAGGTAACTAAAGCAGTGGGAGCTAAGTAGATTATCAAGGGACAGAAGTTAAAGGGAGAAAAAAAAGGCTAGTCAGAGTCTTGGGGCATACCCATATTTAGTGAGAGAGGATGGTGATCTAGGAGAATATACTGAAAAGGGACGTTCAGAAAGGTTAAAAAGAACCAAATAATTGTATACCTACTGTGTGCAAGGCAGTATGTCAAGTATTTGGGAGACACTCAAAATCTCTAATTCTCCTGTTAGTTATTCTGTTGATAACTCCAAGGCCATCAGATCATAGGGAAGCAAGCAGCACCATTTTATTTACTGGGTTCCTTACCCACAATTTCCATGGGGGGGGGTTGCTAGCAGGATCAGACCTAGGAGAAACTGAAAAGTAGGAAAACCTGAGTTTGTTGTTGGCATGCTCTTAACTTACATTTCAGCTTTTAGTGGCCCCTGTATGATCTTGGACAAATTATTTCACTTTTCTTGTTCTCAAAAATGTAAAGTGTGAAGGGCTGAGGTAAATGATGTCCAAGGTCCTTTAGGATCATAGATTCAGAGATGTGAAGGATCTTTGAAGTCATCTAATATAAGGCTTCATTTTACAGATGAGAGATTTGTGGCCCAGACAAGTGAAATGATTTACCCAAGGTCACAGAGGTAGCAAGAAACAGAAATAGGATATGTCATGTCCTCTGACTCCAAATTCATCACTCTTTCCATGATACCAGGTGATCCATGATACCAAGTTTTATTACTCTTATTAATATCTTTTTGTTCCCAGACAGTTAACTAATCCCCCAAAATGTGTAAGCTAAAAATACAGGTAATTTCAGATATAAGAACTCTCAGGAATGCTTGCAATTTCAAGAGCATGCTTTTGAAGTCATCAAAGACCCCAAGGAGTGAATGGTGGAGTCTCAGATACCATGGCAGGCAGGCAGAGAATGTTTAGTCGTCTTCCCTCTATTAGTAATATTGGGCTTGGAAATACTAAGATAAAATCAAAATGCAGGTGAAGTCTTTCCATCTATCCTTTCTCTACATTTCTTCTTTCAGAGAACCTCATACCCTAAGGTATCAATCTTCTGTTTGCTTAAAACCCCCTTCAATGGGATTTCTGTTTTTCCTTATCATCTCCCAAGCAAAACTTATTGTCATGTCACATTTCCAGCTACTCTGAATCAAACTGATCCCAGGTATGAATGGTTTCCAAGTGTTACTCCTTTCAGGGCAACACTTTAAGAGTGAATTCCTCAAAAACAGTTCCTTAATTTCATGGGCAGGCTGTAACAATGAAAGATAGGGGTTTTTCATGTGAAATCCCCTCCTTCCCCAAAACATACCAACCTTATTCCCCTGAAATTGGACTACTACAGTATGTGAAATTCATATTACTTAAGCAATATTCAAGGAACAGTCCTTAATTAATATGCACAAAAATATTTGTAGCAATTGTTTTTGTGGTGGCAAGGAATGGGAAATTAAGGGATTGCTGATTATAGAATGATTGAACAGATTATGATATTTGATATTATTGTACCTTTAAAAACATAAAAAAAGGAATGGTTTCAGAGAAACCTGGGAAGACTTAAATGAACTGAAGCTAAGTAAAGTGTATAGAAAACAATTTATTAATATAACAACATTATAAAGAAAAGAAACTTTTAAAGACTTAAGAACTCTGATCAATGCCATAGCCAACCAAGATTACAGAAGACTAATGATGAAGTAAGCTACTGACACCTTCTGCCAGAGAAGTCACATGATACAGAATAATATACATTTTCAGACATGTCCAATGTGTGAATATTGTTTGATTATACATATTTGTTGCAAGGGTTTTTATTTTTGGGAGGTGGGAGGGAGAAGAGGTTAGAAGAGAGAGATAAGTTATTGAAGCATTTTTTTTTAATTCATAGCGGAGAACAGAAGACTGGAAGGAAACTTGAACAAGGAAGACAGCTTCAAAAGGGACATGCTGATTCTATTATATACTTAAAAGATAAAACAAGCTGAGTGTAAAAGAAGTTAGAAATTTCACATCTAAACCTCTTTTTCTGCTCTACTTTGTATATGGAAACACTAATTTTACTTGGTAGTCATTAAGTTCACATTTTTAAAAGTATACTCCTTAAACTGAGACCTTTAGGCTTTCTCTAGCTTATCTGTTAGAGATGACAAAATGTATTCAGGAAATTTTGATTATACATTATGTTCCAATTCATTGTGAATTTAAAAGGTAGCATTATTCAAGTGGTATGATGAAGACCTCATTTTACAAGGCTTTCATTGTTTCTCTCTCTCCAGGAAAGATGGACATCTCCATTAACATACCAGACCAGCAGGAGTAGAGATATTCCTTTCCCTCACTGCCATTTCTAGACTTTACTGAGTAATCTCTCCTTTAAGGTAATTCCATGCAAAAATGCCTTTATCATTCTTCATATTAATCCACTTTTTTGTCATGTGGTAGGAAGTATTTTTCATTGGTCCTCTGGAATCACGGTTGATTATTTAATTGGTCAGAGTTAAGTCTTTCAAAACTATTTATTTTTGCAATATTGATGCTATAATATAAATTGTTCTGGTTCTGCTCACTTTGCTCTATAACAGTTCATGTAAGTCTTTCCAAGTCAATCTGAAACCATCCCCATAGCCTATAATTTGCTCCGCAAGTCCCCAATATTGGACACCCTCCTTAGTTTTCCAGTTTTTTAATATCACAAAAAGCTGCTATAAATATTTTAATACATAAAAGACCTTTTCCTCTTTCTCCAACCTCTTTAGAGCTTAGGTCTAATCATTGGTATCATTGATATCACTGATAACATTCTTAGTTCAGTTAGTTTTGGGGCATAATTCCCAATTGCTTTCTAGAATGATTGCCCAGTTCACATCTTTACCAGCAGTGCATCAATGCGCCTGTTTCTTTGTAGCCTCTCCAACATTTTCCATCTTTTTTTTTCTTTTTTGTTAGCTTTGCCATTCTTAGAGGATGTGAGGTAGAACCTCATAGTTGCTTTAATTTTAATTTCTCTAATTTTTAGTGCTTTGGAGCATTTTTTTTCCAGCCAAAGACAAGGTTTATTAGAACATCCGTCATACTGAGCAGACTCTTAAGAAATCTGAGCATTTGTATTGATAATGCAAAGCAGGCCAGATCTTAAGAATCTGAGCATTGGCTGGATTTTAAGAATCTCAGCATTTGGCTAGATTTTAAGAATCTGAGCACTTTAATGAAGATAAGATGGATCTTATATGCAGAAAGATTGTGGGAGGGATCTAGGAGTGGCCAAGTAGTTTGGGGTGACTGGAGGAGGGGGTCTAAGGAGGATCTGGATGGGAGTGGCCAGTAAGCTGAGGTGAACAGAACACCAAGGCCTTGGACCACATGGCCAAGGGAGAATGGAGTCTAGATAGGATTAAGGGCCAGAAGTGTCCTTTTTCAATGTTATAAATTCATCTAGAACACACTGAGTTCAGATTCTTGTTGTAATCTACTGGTTTTTTCCTCCTCTCTTCTCTTTTGTAAAGAGTTCAGAGCTTATAGTGTTTTGTTCTACCTATCCCAAATCTTTTCTTTCTCCTTAGGGACTTCAATATGTACTTTGATGTTCCATCAAACACCTGGCTTCCAATTACTCAAACTTCTCCAGTCTTGTGAGTTTTATCTTCTCTATCTCAGCCACCTACAGGGGTATGATTATAAGGTCATAGATTTAAAGCTGGAAGGGGCCTCAGCCCTTTGCACAGTGTCTGGTACATACTAAGTACTTGATAACATCTTGATTGACTGACAAGTCCAACTTCTTCATTTTATAATTGAGGAAACTGAGACTCAGAAATGTTGTGACTTAACCAGGATCATAAGTATGTGAAATGGGATTTGAACCCAGTTCTTTCTCACTCCAAGTCCAGTGCTCTAACTGTGATACCACCAAACTAAGAAAAAAAAAAAGGAAAGCTAATCAGATGGCAGAAGAGCGCCATGAACCTGGAAGTAAAGAATTTTGATTTCTGGGTCTAGTGGTAGACGACTAATGAAGATTTTCCAGAAAAGAGGTGGTTAATATATTCAGGATGGTGGGTGTGAGGGAAAATTTGGGGGACATGTTTTTAAACTAGCCAAAGGGATGAAAGAAATGGGAGGTAGTTATATGAAACATGTTTTTTTCATTGTGTTTGTTATTTCTTACAAACTATCTAATTTCATTTTCATGCCACACATCTCATTTAGTCCCACATCTCATTACACAACTATCTGATTATACTGCACATCTCAGTAGTTTAATCTTTCATTCATGTGTGATGTGTGTCTAAGCACGTCTCATCCTGGTGCTGCTTCTGTAGGATGAATCTTTGATATGTCATTAGATGAGTTCTATGGGTTTAGCCTCTGCAATAGCCCAGGACCCTATCACAGACTTATCCTCGAGACCCAGGGAACACAGAAAAGCCACATGAGTTCTTGATTGCATCTTATAATCTCACAGATGGTCTATGGCAGCACTTCTTAAACTGTGGGTTGGGACCCTATATGGGGCCGTGTAACTGAATGTGGGGGTCGCGAAAAATTTGGCAACAGTAAAAGGTTTCTGAACACACCACAACCAAAAATTAATTCAAAATCAAATACATGACGAATCTGAGGTGTTTCTGGCAGTACTTGCCTGTGTTGCATTGTGAGACTTCACTACAGTCTTGGTTCTGAACACACAACATGTGCACTTTGCACTGTGCATGCTGTCATACCATGCAATGCCAACGAATGCTGGCAGAAGCACCTTGGCTCAGATTCAAGACTATTGGATGTTATGAATTGCAGTGCTTTTATTGTACATACAAAGTTTTCTGCTCTTACAGAAATGTAACAGTTTAATTATGGACAATAATGACTTTTAATATTTGCCTACCATCATTCCTCAAGATTAAGTGTCAAATTAGTATATCTTTGGATTGTATATGTGTTAGAATGTTCGATTATAAAAATTTCTGTTATCTCCTTCTTTTACAGAGATATGTGTTTCATTGCATCAAGTAAAGCCAAGAGCTGTTTAATAATATTTCTCCACCATCACTGCTATATGTATATGTAAGTGTGAACATCATTTTAAAAAATTAAGCACAAACAAATGTAATTTCATAAACTAAAGCTAGTGTTCATTGGAGAAATTGTATTTTAGGACACTTTTTTACTATGGATAAATGGCTAAATTTAATACTGACATACAATGTGGCAGAGTCTTGACTTTCAGGGTACAATACACCTAAATTGACAAGAAAAAGAAAATATGTTGAATCATTTTCGCAGTATGGATTTACTTCTAATAATGATGATGGTGTGGAGAAACCTCTTTTCTTAATTTGTAATGAAGTTTTGACTGTGGAAAGCACGAAACCAGCCAAACTAAAACGACATCTTAATACCAAGCATACAATGTACTGCAATAAACCAAAGGAAAATTTTGAACAACTTTTAAAATCTTCAAAAAAACCCAAACAATGTTTTGAGAAATTTGTTGCTGTCAATGGAAAGTATTTACTTGCAGATTATGAAGCTTCCTGTTTAATTGCAAAAACTAAAAAGCCTTATGCAATAGAAGAAGATCTTGTGTTACCCACTGCTATTAAAATGTCAAGAATAGTTCATGGGAAAAAGTATGGGGATAACATTTGCAAAATTTCTTTATTGAATGATGCAATTTCCAAAAGAATTTCTGAGATTAGTAATGACCAATTCCAGTAGCTTATTACCAGGCTTAATGGCAGCTTGAAGTTTGCAATTCAGTTAACTGAAACAACAGATATTTCTAACATGGCACAGTTGTTATTTTATATGAGATATATTTATGAAGGAAGCATACATGAGGAATTAATGTTTTGTCACCCTTTGGAGGGGCACACAAGAAGGGAAGATATATATCCTAAAGTCTATGAATTTTTTGCTAATGAAGGTTTACAGTGGAAAAACTGCATTGGAGTCCATACAGATGGTGCTGGAGCAATGATGGGTGAGAATGTTGGATTTGTAGCAAAAGTTAAAGCTGGTGGCAATGAACATATTAATTTTACTCACTGCATGACCCATCAGGAGGCACATGTAGCCCAAAAAGTGTCATCAGAGTTAGATGTTGTGCGCAATACTATCAAAATCATTAACTTCATTAAAAGTCATATCTTTTACAATCATTTGTTTTCAAACTTTTGGAAGACATGGACTCTGATTACAAAAGCTTAATACTACATGAAGAGGTGAGGTGGCTCTCAAGAGGGTGAAGTTTAAACAGATTACTGAAATTGAAAGATGAAGTTGTTATATTTTTGGAAGAATAAGATGGAAAATGGTTCTTTAGAAATATTTACTGCTACAGATGATTTTATAATAGAAAGTAACCTTCCCAAAGATTTAACTGTAAGAGTTATAATTGATCATCTGAAGTGCTTGGAGACACAGTTTCAGAAATGCTTCCCTTCAGATTTTGTTTCTAAAAAACTAAGTTGGGTTCATGAACCATACTCAAATTGAAATAAAAAACATCAGTCATCTGCTATTAAAAGTTCAAGAAGAATTTGCCAAGTTATCAAGTGACACAGATTTAAAACTTGAGTTTTCTAAAAAATCATTAAATGAATTTTGGCTTGGAATTAGGACTGAATTTCCAACAATTTCTGAAATGGCCTAAACATACTTCTGCCATTTTGTACTATGTATTTATGTGAAGCAGCATTCTCACCATCAATGATTATAAAATCAAAATATCAATCAACTCTGAAAAATGTTGATGATGCTTTACGTCCTACAGTATCAAATATTCCACCAAGGTTTACTTCTTTATGTGAAAACAGAGAAAACATCTTTCTCATTAGTATACAAATTTGCTTTCATTTTTAATAAATGGTAAAATTATACACACACACACACACACACACACCCCAAAGAGTTGTTTTAAAATAAATATATTTATGGTTTATTATCAGTAAATGTTTGACTCGTGTACCTATTTTTACATACCTATATACCTGGGGTTGTGTAAAAATTTCTCGGGCAAAAAGGGGTCGCGAGTAGAAAAAGTTAAAGAAACTCTGGTCTATAACAAGGACCACATAGAAGTCACCCAGAGGTTGACATAAAAGAACACAAGAACAAAGTCTACTCCCCAGGCCATTACCTGGGCTTTTCTTTTTACAATGCACACAATATATCACTTAAGGTTTGCAAGTCTGGTGTTTGTATACCAGCATGGTCGGCAGCACTGACTGCATGCATATGTCCTCCTCTCTCCAACCTACCTTCAGGTGGAGTTACCAGAGTTCATTTTTCAACATGTTCTTCTACCCTAACACCACTACAAATAAATCAAATATTTAGCCTAAAAGAGGTGAATGGTGATGCAAATAATCCAAAGCCATAGATAATCCCCAAATAAACATACTTTGATTTTTGGAGCATAGCATCTCTCCTTTTTGTAATAGTTTTCCTTCCCAAATCTAACAATAGCTCACATTCATATAGCATTTGAAATTTTTTTTTTTGGTGAGGCAAATGGGGTTAATTGACTTGCCCAGCATTACACAACAAGTGTCAAGTGTCTGAGGTTGGATTTGAACCCAGGTCCTCCTGACTCCAAGGCCAGAGCTCTATTCACTGTGCCACCTAGTTGCCCCCAGCATTTAAATTTTTATAAAGCATTTTCCTCACAACAACTCTGCAAGTTGGGTAATATGTGTATTATTATGCTCATCATACAGATGAGGAAATTAAGCGACTTGCCTATGATCACACAGCTTGTAAGTGTCTGGAGTTGATTTCAAAACTTGGTCTCCTGATTCCAAGTCCAGGACTTTTCCACTATGTTATACTGCCTTTCAATATGTTTTACATACACTAATATTTAAGTTAATTTCTATTCTTTGAGCATATACCAACTGACTATGAGATAAGGCTATCCATAGACACTCTGTCTGACAGAAGGAAGACAGTTTGGGACTATCTGACACTAACAGTGTACAAAGCATATGTCACACACAAAGAAATAATAAAATTGATAATACCGTATTTAAGCACAGAAATCCCTTCTTGGATAGTTTCAGCAGTGAGATAAGACTAGAATTATTAGAGTGTTCAGGTCCACCCTGTAGTTAAGGTACTTTCATCAATCTAAAGAGATTCTTATTTCAGATGTTCATTTCTAAAGAACCATGATTCATCAAGAATTGTGCAGAAATCCTTAATATTCCTCTCTTCCTTCAATAATCTACCATTCCTAAAATGTGTAAGTTTGAGCTTGTCAAGAAAGAATGGGAAAAGGAAGTGATTTTCAAGAAAACTGGAAAATTTTAGAATTGTCTTTTAGAATTGTCTGTCTTTTTAAGTGTTAAAAGAAGGATTAGCCTACTGTTACATCCTTACCTTCCTAAGGGGCATTGTAGTATACTGGAAGACTAATAGTCTAGCATCCCCAATACAAGGCAGGTAAATTAAAACGACTGTTACAGAGAAACAGATAAATTGTGGGTAGTAGGTCAGAGAGTGATCATTAGCTGGGTCTCCCTTTTCCTCACTCAACCAGTGTTAAGGAAGCAGATTTTTAAAAACTGAGGTAAGGACATAGGGAAAATAATAAAGGAGGAAAAAATTAAGGAGATGAATGAGGACTGACAGTTCAATAACTCTGCTTCTCATATATTTTTCACTTTGCTCCAGACAACAGATTTATATAGCCAGTGAGCCTTTGGGGTTAACCATTCTTTGGACTGATGTGGAACGAAAGACTTAATGATAAATATTTAGGACTGTCCTAACAAATTCCAAAGGTGAAATGTATTTGCTCAAGAGGTAGTGGGTTTCCCATTACTGAAGTTCTTCAAATGGAGCGTGTATCAACACTTATTAGGGATACTGTGGTTTTAGGCTAAACTGAATGACCACTGAGGTCTCTTCCTGAGATTCTATGATTCTTTGAAAAACCTCTCAGTGTCCCACCATTCCTAACACACACAATTCCTGTTGATGTCCCAAGTCAATAATCAACCATAGCCATGTACGTATATATGGTAACCACTTGAGCGAGTGCTGAATTTGGCAGACAGCAAAACTGACTGGACATGATTTCACCTGTGTGATCTTGAACAAATCACTTCACTTCTGAAGACAATGCATTCCTCACCTGTAATACTCTCTTGCAGATATTACTTTGTTAGAGTCTGTTATTAATTAGCTAACAGCTGAGAGGCTCTATTAAAATTCACTTCACTATCTGAAAGGGTTGTTGGTCCTGCACTTCTGTTTTCATTTACATATAATTATAATTATGGATCCTAATCACTGTCTGACCTTCAAAAATTAGGAGCTGAGGACATGTAGCATCTTTTCCTGGGTCACCTCCCCATATCCAATTCATCCAAGATGACTCAGGTATCTCCAATTGGTAGTCAAGCAGTGCATGTCCCTATCTGATTCCAGAAAGTAGCACATAACCCAGGAAAGGATGTGGGAGGTGTGAAATCCTGGCAGAGAGAATCTGGCTCTGTTGCTGTGGGCTGCCTGCTGATTGTGAGAGATGTGAAAATCAAGAGCCCTCCCCAACCCCAATCAGTATGCAAAATAGGTCTAAGAGGCCACTGCCATTATCCTTTTATTATCTCTGTGGTGACAGGGAGAGGCTCTGGGAATGTAAGGACGTGAATGACAGGTGCTCTGCTGATCTGGGAATTCAAACATTTCAGTGGGTCTTTCTGGAATTCTGACAGTTTCCCTCACACTTGAATGCCATTTTAAAAATTACACCTGTTTGCCCACAGCAGCTGTCACATATGTATTTGTGGGATAGGTTATTTCTCCCCCTTCCCCGGCCTGCCACTTCCCTCTCTTGCAGTCAATTTTTTTTCTATTTCGACAGCTGTCATTCACACAACAACAGACAAAGAAACAGCCTGACAGGAATAGTAGAGATTAAAGAGAATTACTCACATTCCTAATGCTCTTTCACAGGCAACCCTTTACTGTTGGCTCCATTATCTTTACTCCAGGACTGATTTCTTCTTGGAGTAAGTAGATGGAAAGATCTTTAGAATCCATTG